TAGGACAAAGAAATTTTTTGTTAAAACAGTACGCGCCTTACGTCTACTAAGACACTTATCTTGCACCCACCCTCCCCAAGGTCCAAGTCTTTTTCCAGTGTTCTTTTCCGCCATTTTGTTTGTCTGCTTTACTTTTGTTTATTTTAATTTTCTGTCAATTTATTTTCTGGCCTAGTCATTATTTTTATGAGTATACACATAGATCATACTCCGTGGGTCAAAAAAATAATCTCACGTTTGGAAATAACTGGGTTTTTTCTTGTTTGATTTTTAATTTTTTTTTTGTTTATTTTCTTCAAATGGTCTATAAAAGTAAAAAAGGATTATTTCATGAGGAAATAATTTGTCTTTTTATTTTGAAGTCATTCTCACCGTAAGCTGTTTCCCACTTGAGTTCGTGTAGCCACTTGTTGAAGATAAATGTAAAAGGCTTGGAACCATCAACAGTTATTACAACCTACCATTGCATAAGAAAAGTTGAATAAGTGACTGTAAAGACACGATCAGAAAAACCTTTTCTCTCCGTCTATGGCGACATTCTTCTCAGCCCTTCCTTCCCGATCATCGAGAAGGATGGAATGGTTATAATGTTTTTGTTTTGAATCAAAATTATTTCGATGCCAAACAAAGCGTAAAGTGTAGGGAAAAATTATTCTCTCACCAATCTCGATGATTTATACGCGAATGTTAACATCAGTCAATTAGTATTTGACACAAAATCGAGATTACTGGAATTCGAAGTAAGTACAGTGATAAGTTAAGGGAAGACGGCATGTTCACTTGACTGAGAAGTAAACATGGCGAAGCAGTGAGAAGGTAACAACCAAAGCCATCTACACATGTTTTATCTTCAGAAGAGTTTTTCTATCTCTATCCAGTACTTCTTGGCGAAAAGTGTAATCTTGTCTACTCGCTATCTTAAGTTGATACACTGCAATAGCAAGTAAGTGGAGGACTATCGGGGTCAGTGAGAGGGTTTGTGCAAAACTAATCGCGTTATTCCAAATACTGAACACTTGAAATAATTATTTTTCAATACCTTAGCCAGTTTCCAACGAGGACCAATCAGACCATCCCAGGAATCGAGTAATTTGAATAAATTCAATGGGTGTGATCAGCTTATCATTCCTGTAAAAATGTATTTGCTCGGCAAAAATAATAGCAGTGTTGTACCATTAACCCTTCACAACCTAACATCAGTATGCATATTCTCCATACTGTTCTCTATGCATTTCCTAAGATGCTGACAAGGAGAATTTGTTTAACAATCAAGAGCTTCTTTAATTGGTGATCAGTTCCTTTATTCTCTCAATCTTCATGTTTGATTTAGGGTTGATGTTGTAAGGAGAAATTAGATGCTAGTCACTCTTATAAACCACTTTCATTAATGGCTGCCGGATTAATATTTTTTTGTTTAAATTTAAATTAGCCCTTCTGGCCTCGCTTGAGATAATGTATTCTTTTGAATTTTTTACTGGAGAACGAGGCCAGAACGAGGCCAGAAGGACTAATTTACATTTAAACAAAAGAATATTAATCCGGCAGCCATTAATGAAAGTGGTCTATGAAACATCACAACTGATGCCACGATTGTTACTTTGGTCGACACTCACTACATTGAGAATCAATGTTAAAAATAGTTTCATACGTCAGCGTGTGTTCATCGTGACCAGAAAAATTGACAGAAATTAAAATATCCTAACATTTACGACATGAATGAGTGAGTTGTTTTTATATCCTCATTTAATTTGTAATCCTGATTGAAAGATGAATAAAACTGGAAGAGAAACTGAAAAAGAACGAATTAACATCCGTTCCATACTCACTTGCACCCCGTATAGACTGTATGAAAGACAAAACAATCAAAAGAACAAAGATTGTTTTCAGCATGGTAAGAAACGCTGATAATCTACAGGCTTAGAAAACAAACTGTCGCGATAAACCGAGGGACGACCCTTAAAAAGTCCCCAATTATAGCAAGACCTCTAAAATTTTGAGCCTAAAAGTTTAAAAGATAATTTTCTTAAATAATATATCAGCTGCTAGAAACAGTACAGTGACAAACAAACACATAGCTACTAAAATGTTTAACTTAAATAACTGGAAACATATTTCATAATATCTTTTATTTAAATAATTTAAACTCAGAACAAGTTTTCTCGTAATGCAAAGTTGACCTCGTGTAGTTCTAGACAATCTTAGCCACTCGACTCTCGCCTTGTTATGAGCAAGTACAAGAAAGAAAGGGAGAACTACAAGGGACTAGGCACTACGCAAGTGAGGATTTGCGGAACATTAACAAAAATGACCTAAAAATTCTACAGTTAATTCAGCGCTTTTTTCAATCGTCTGGCTGATAGGAATTTGACGAGAAATCATAATTTCGTCAGTAGAGACTTTGACCTTGCGACTCAAATAAACTCGAAGACGTCCATCTTAAAGCAATCTTGTACAAATGTTACCTGATCGTTTTTTATTAAACCAGATCTCATCCCATGTTCTTGACCTTTCCCTAAATGTCATCCAGTACATGCATCACATGGACAGTAAATAAAAAATCGTGATTATAATCGAACATTGTAGTTCTCTGCAGTCAGGTTTGTTGCTCGTCGTACGTGCTTCCCCAAATTAACATTATCGCAACTGACAATTGAGTCGTAAACTTAATTAGAAATTGATGACGTTCAGTTATTGGTTATTCTCTTAATAGTCCTGGAAACACAGCTGCTTGTAGAAACAGGTAAAAATACATTCATGGCAATGAATATTA